CTTCCTGCGGTTTGCATTGATACGTTGAGACTCCTCCTCAGCCTCCTCCAGCTGCCTTTTCAGCTGCTTGAGTCGTAGGTTGCCCTTCTCAGCCTACAAGACAAAATTAAAGTAATTCTTCAAGTTGAAATACATCTGATAGCTTTAGATTCTCATTTAAATTTCATATTTCTATTCATATTTCTATTGAGAGTTTTCTTCTCTATCAAAGGCAAAACTTAAAATCTAAAAACGTAAATATAACTACTTTGTGGGAGTTCAATTTGCTGATGCAAACTTAATTCTTTATTTTGCTACACAGTCCTGACTCTGCATTTCTGGTTTGCAGGTTGATACGTGTTATGTAAAGTTAAATATCTCAGTAGGATACAAAATGTAATCATGGTCTCCATTTGTGTACCAAAAGGGATGTTGTGCAGAGTCCTATATATCACAGTGTATAGTCAGACTGTTGGTCTATTGACAAGGGTAGTGCTTTGGCACTTCTCTCAGCATGGAAGAAAAATCAAATTGTCACATCTTTTAGCAAAAGGCTTTATAGCTGTCCTAGCACAGACCCTTCTTGAGGTATAACACGGAATCTTGCTTTTTTAGGAAAGGCAGAAATCTGAAAATTTTTAGTAAAACTCGAAAATGTCTGTGCCCTTGGCTAACACCTTTATGATGCAGACTCATACCTGATCTCTGTATTGCTCTGCTTGTTTTTTCTCGTCCTCCACCTGCAGCAATGCATCCTTCAACTTCTTGTCCTTCTGGCGTAATGTCTTGGCTGCAGCCTGCTTCTCTCTGCAAATGACAGTGCAACATTTGGTGATGTGGCTTGATGTGGCACCAAGGAACCATATGGTAAAGGCCTATCTGAATGTAACAGATGAATTCTAAGCAAGATGTAAATGTCTTTGATTAAAAACAAACAAAAAAAAAAACAATGTGTTTTTGCTGCATGATAAGTTCCTGAGGGGATAAAGAGATCTAAAACACAAATTGACTTCCTCAGTTAATAGTCCTACAAATGGCACAGTGTATGATAGAGAATCTGCTAGGATCACGTGGTAAAGTAAGGGGGCAGATTCTTACCATTACCAATAGAACTTTTCAGCAATAAAATGGTTTTTTACTCAGTCTGTAATAACTCCAATTTTAGTGGCCGTGTCTCTAAGGAATGTTATGCGGGGAGAGAATTTACCAAACATTAATGGTTCTGAGAACCTGATTACACAAATATATATGCATTTGTTTACTTTGTTTCATTAACTGGAACAATAAATGGATGTCTATGCCTCTGCAAGCCTAAGTACCTGGCCTCCTGTTCCAATTGCTCTTCAAGAGAAGCAATTTTGGCCTCCAGAGCAGCAATTGTGCTTTTGAATTTAGACTTCACGGCTCCCTCCATCTCTTGCAGTTTACTCCTCAGCTCCTTGTTCTGCCTCTCCAATTGCTGCCTGGCATTTTCATTCTTCTGTGCGGTTGCTCGTTCTGTTGCCAGCTCATTGTTCAGTTGCTCTGCCTGCAAGGGCAAGAATGGATGTTGTCAAAAGCGTTGTGTACTTTCAGGGAAAATCAGGTGGTGATTCATGGTGGCAGTTCTCCAAATATATTTTCAAAGCCACAGATAACTTTCACTGGAATACAAACAAAGTGACACACGTGCTGTAATGAACTCTACCTGCTGCACCGCTTTCCTCATGCGATCACTCATTGTCTCTATGTTGCTGTGCTCTTCATCTAGCTCTTCCTCCAGCTGGGCAATTCTTGCCTCTAGGCGCCGTTTCTCATCCTGTAGGATTGTTCTGTAAGTTTAAATTTAAGAAGTGTACAGTTATGGCTCTGACCAATTGAACACACATAAAGCTATTAGGAACTACCTATGATTCACCAGGAAAAGAAAATCAGATAGCGAAACCATTCAGGTGCACACATGTTGTATTGTTAAGACTGGATATCTATTAGGACAGGAATACACCTTCTTTTGGGAACTGTGCAATTTTCAGCAGCATGCTTATAGCTCTGTGAATAATCCAATCTATTCTTACCTTCCAGAAGCAGCACTTGCAAGTTCCTCTGCCATCTCTTCTTTCTCCAGATCTGCTTGTTTGCGAGCTCTCTCTGCAGCAGCCAGATCCTAGGAGTGAAGAAAAATGCAGCATAGCAAAGAAATGAGCAAGTGTTCTCACAAAGTTACACAACTATGAGCTCTCGAAAACTGGTGTAAGCTTGGTTGTCTGGTTAATGGAATAAACTCTTAAATCATAAATGTCTGGGAAGAATGTCTAGCTATTGAGAACAATTTGTATTGGATCGTAGAGTTGATTTCCCTTTAAACCCGAATTGTGCTTTCCTCCAAGGTGAGCTTGACCTGGCTATGCTCAGATGTATATTCAACAACGCCACTGGAGAGCATGAAACATATTACAAATTTTGTTTTTAATTTTCCATCTCTAGCTATTATATCATATCAATGCAGTTCTGTCTAGCTACTGAAGATCTTGTATATTCTGTGTAATACTGCTTTAAAAGTTTTCCATTTTACCTCTTGAAGCTGGATGAGTTCAGCTTCAAGGTTCTTGGCTTTCTTCTCATTTTCTCTGGCTGTAGCGAATATTTCTTCTCTGGCAGCCCGTGCATCATCCAGGTCTCGTTGGTAGTCCTTCATCTGAGCCTTGTTGAAAAGAATAACGAAAGTTTATTTTTGTCTAGTTTTACAACAACATCAATGCAAAGAAATGTGCACATAATAGGACACAAGCATAGTAGAATCACAAAGCTTTTGTGTATTTTCTGTAGAGATCAGCTAGCATATGCTGAGAGACTCTTAATTATTCTAAAGAGAGTGATGCTTCCACTTGTGTGCTGTAGTTTTTGTAATGCCTATTGACCTTATTTCCCTTGCATGTTTGCGGGTGTGCCATCTTAATCTTTATGAATATTCCGGTTCTTTGTTTATCTGTCAGCATATGACAAAAGAGTAGAAAAAACTGGATTTGTGGGTTTTACATACCTGTAGTTTGCGAAGTTGTTTGATGGCTTCTTCCCGAGCTTTGTTAGCAGAATCAACTTGGCTTTCTAGATCTTTGACATCAACCTCCAACTTCTTTTTGGCTGCAGCTGCCAGGGCGCGTTGCTTCCGCTCATCTTCCAGTTCCGTTTCATGTTCGTGGAGCTGATTGTTAGAGAAGACACGTATAGAAAGCATTCTTCAATACTCTTAAACACTGTGTAACTCTGGATAACCTGCATAATCTGTGTCTATTAACTGTGATATTACTAGCAGTTAAAATGCATTTTCTTTTTCAAAAATTGAAGATTCTCCAAAGGAGTCAGCATTGTGGGCCTGTACTTTTGGAAATAAGATGACTATGGGATTTCTCCTTGCTGTAACAATGCTACTGTACAAATAGGCTCTGTCCTGTCTGTTTGCCTTTCCAATACTTTGGTATCTATTTCATGTACTTTAGGAAGGCAGACATGTCAGAAACTGTCTTATTTCACTTGCTCTAAGAACACAGGAAAAGTATTTACTGTGCTAGGGAAAATAATTCACATGTTTTCTACTGTATTGACTGTAGTGTTGACTTGCTACATCTGTTAGCAACTGTGTGCTTGCTACTGAAATGCAAAATATAATACTGTTAGGCTATCTTTATATATATAATGCTTTCTTATTATAGTGAAGTGCTTTACTAATGGCATGAGCCTGGGAGCATTCAGGTTTTTTGGTTTTGTTACTGTGTTTGTAATAGTAAAATGATACCTGTTTAAGGAGTTGTCTCCTCTTCTCCTCATTCTGTTCATCTCTGGCCTGTAAATCTCTTTCAAACTGGCTTTTCATGGCTTGCATATTAACTTCCAACCGAAGTTTGGCATCTTCAGCAGCCTGTAACTCATCCTCTAACTCTTCTAATTGTGTCTTCATTTCTTCTACTTGCTGTTCAAGTGTCCGTTTAGACTTCTCCAATTCATGGACCTTTTAAGCAATGAAATAGATTTGTTATACAAAAATAAATCCAGTTAAACCCAGCTTATTTTTTATATAGGTCACATCTGAAAATATCAGCTGCAGACAGTGAATGAGCTAATTTGAGTTAATTGCATTTTTTGTATACTTAGTCTCCCTTGAAACAACCTGAGATTCTTTACACTTTATTATGTACTGATTTTAATCAGTCAAGTATCAGCAGTGAATTTAGTTCATATTAGAAGTGATATTATCACTGTAATAAAAGAAGTGATCAGTAATGTAACAGTGGAAATTTGCTGCAGCTATACAAGTACATGTTAAGCTGGTGGTAAGGTCACATCACTAAAATGAGACCTGCAGAGTTTACCACTTAAAAGTTCTTTATTAAATTACTAAATGAATTAGAAAATCTTTAATATTTTCCAGTCTTAGAAATCAATCTTCAGGCTTGAAGCCATGTTAAGAATAAAAGTAACTTACAGTTACTTTGCCAAGTCCCTTGAAGGTTTGGATGCAAATGGAACAAACTTGGAGTTCTGCACAAAATACCTGATCTTGCTGAATGAATCTGTGTGCTACAGAAAGCTCCCCACACTGAAAACAATTATCTGTTTGTTAGCTGCTGTTCTAACTTATTGTGAAAATCATTCTGAGCCCAAAACTTACATTCTTGCCAACATCATCTTTGGAGCTAACAAGGTCTTCCATTTCAGCTTTCAACATTTTGTTTGTTCTCTCCAGTTCTTCTTTGGCTTCCAATGCCTCTTCAAGTGCACGGGCCAAGGACAGAGCCTTTGTTTCTTTTTCTCTAGCTTCAGCTTCTGCTCTATCCCTTTCATCTGCATATTTTGAAGAGATGTTTTTCTCTTCAGCCAGCATCTATAAAATGATAGTGTTAACATAGGAATATTACTATAAGGTTTTCTTCTGTTACAACTTTCTTGTCAGTTGATAATGACAAAGAGAAATCTGCATTTTAATTTCTATTTATATGCATTAATCAACTGCTATATGATATGTTTAATTCAAGTTTATTTTTTTGACGCTGCTTTATCTTTCACTATCATCTTTTAGTTGATTCCCTGCGAGTCACAGAGAAGTCAGGAGATAGCACAGCAAAGGAGAATCTTAAATCCACACCTGGTCAAACTTCTTCTGCTTCTTCTCCAGGTTGGAGACCAGCTGACGCTGGTTATCTAAGTCCACCACAAGGTCATCCAGCTCCTGCTGGAGTCTGTTCTTGGTTTTTTCCAGTTTGTCGTAAGAAGCAGCTTTTTCCTCAAACTGTTGTGTGAGACTTTCAATTTCCCTCTGGAATTTCTTTTTACCTTCTTCCATAGTTTCTATTGTAGCAGTAAATTCTTGTAGCTTCTTCTTAGAATCGGAGAGCTGAAATTTGAATTCAGAGAAGAAATCGTTATATCAGTGACAACAAAGCTTGGCACAGAAGGGGAGTAGGAGAAAACCAAGACCACAGAACCTCTAATTTGACCCAGGCAGACTACTTGCCTACTATGCACATACAGGCTAAGTGTGAAAAACTGCCTTGGGACCTCTTTAAATATATCTTTATGGTAAAGATACTCTTCAGCATAAAGAAGAAGATAAAGAAGTCTTCTGTCTCCATTGATGCCATCTGGGCTAACAACACAAGTTCCTGAAGATCTATATATTGTGCTAGGATTCCTGTCTGAAGCCTCTGGAATTACTGACACGACTTGGTGATAGAGGTAATGATTTAGGTATGGCACTGATACCTGTATTGTCAGTGTAGAAATATGTCTCTCCAGATTTTGTTTGGCTTCTAGTTCTTCATCCAACTGCTCCTGCAAGCTGTTCTTGTCATCCTCTAACTGACGGAGCTTTGTAGTCACGTTCAACTTCTGCCGTGTTTCTTCCTGAAGCAGCTCCTACATTAATCACATCAACCAGCAAGACAGTCATTAGCTGAGGTCTTCTTACAGCATTTCTTGAAATTGTAGGTGAGCTGTTACTACATACAAGTTTACCTGTGTGTCTTGTAGCTGAGATCCTAAGGTTGCCACATCTTTAGTTAATTTGATATTCTTGCTTTCTGCTTCATTGAGCAAACTGGTAACATTTTCAACCTCAATCTGTGAGAGACCAAAGTGAAAAAACACTCAGTTATTTTGCGCAACTTTAACAACTTCCTCTGCTTAGTTTGCTCTAAATCAAAGTCTCAATGTTTGAAGGGGTTCTGAATATGCTGCTATGCTTTTTGAGTCACCTTGAGCACTAAAAGTGTTTCTAGTTCATAGGAGAATCATAAACTTTGTAGCAATTCTTCTGGACAATATGTGGGGTTCTGTGGCATTAAATCCTACACAGAAAATCTACAGTGTCTGCATGTTGTGTCTGCACATTGTGACATATGTATTAAGACGCTGTTTTTGTCTGGAGTTTACCTTAGCATTTTATTACTATATATCACAGCCTGTTTCTATTCGTAAGACAATACTAATATATTGTATATACCACAGTAACAGACAGCATTTCTAGGAATTCAGTTGTGAAAAATAGTATTGTTCAGGTGAATAGCAGAAATGCTGAAAATTCATCTCCTGTTTTTCCTTCAACTTCCAGTGAATTGCAAAAGGGCATGAGGATTTCCCTGTATTTTCCTTTCTCTTTTCAGGTTTGAGAGAACCTGATATATTTTGGATATATTTTCTTATTTATCAATTAACTTACAATTAGTGAGAGAAGCTTACTGCTGCTATGAACAAACTTGTAACTGTGGTTGATCAGTATTGCTGGGCATTGCAAATCTACCAAAGAGCTACTTAAAAATATTTTTAGTTGTTCTCTTTTTGGGAACTAAATCACAAATAAGTAAGCATTCCACTTCTGTTTTCATTTTTCTGGATGCATCTTATGAGTTTAATGCAGTTTAATCAATTTCCAAAATCCTTATTTTTATTGACATTCACCACCACACAGCAATAAGCAAACAGGATCTTTGTAAAATATGCAGCACTGTCACTGAAACAGTGGTGGCATTACACAACACAGGGAATCGTAAGACTAACAACTCTCACTTCCATGAGTGGCTGTAATTGTTTAATGGTGTGATAACTGAAATATGAGCCTTACAATTGAACCCCACCCAAAAGAAAAAAGAAAGAGTGTCCCAACTGAAGTCAATAAGGCAAGGATTCCTCCAGATGTACTTCCAATGAACTTAGTCTAACTGGTCTACTCAAGTCCAAGGTGTCATAGTAAAAGCTCAAACCCCCCTTTTACCTGCAGCTTGTGAACTTTTTCATTGAGTTCTGTCCGAACACGCTCTCCATCAGTGTATTTAGACTGCAAATCTTGCAGCTGTACTTCCAGCTTCTTCTTTTTGTGCTCTACGTCTTGTTTGGCCTGACTCAGGCTCCTGACTTCATTAGCCAGATCAGCATTATCTTTCTCGAGTGTCTGTTTGGTCTTATCCAAGTTTGCTTTAGCCTACAAACATGAAGAAAGAGTTTTTGTAAAAGGAATTAGTGTTATTTGTGGGTGGTTATCAGTAGGATGGATTGCTATTTACCCGTTTAAATTGCTCCAGCTGCTCTGTTAGTTCTTCCACAGCTTGAGTGTGCTTTTGTCTCATCTCCTGGACTTGGGCTTCATGAGTTCGAGTCTCCTCCTCCAGAGCTCTCTTCAGCACAGTGACTTCTTGTTCACGCTTTGCTCTGCAAGAAGGCGTACATAAATGGAGAGGAGCACCTAAGACTGTTCCAGTCACTGGGAAAATGGCACTCCATCATAGTTGTAAAGTCAGACTAATTACAAGTTATATCACGTTGAGAGATGATGCAAAAATGAACTTAAAGAAATTCTATGAGGTAGTTTTCACAGGATATATGACAGACAAGATCAGAAGAAGTTGTACTGAGATCAGTTAACAGAAATGGGTTTCCTGCATGAAACATCAGGGGAAAAGAGTTTCGACTGTTGAGTACAAGACTGAATTATTAAGGTGCCTAAGACAGACAATTAGATAGCTAGTTCCAGGAAAAAAAAATAGCCTAGGTAACCTGAATTAGATTGTCTATATGTTGGAGACTATCACTATGAAAGTCTAGAATTGTTCCATCTGTGGGCAAAGTCTCCATACCTGAGCTCTTGCTGGGTGGCTGTGGTATCCAAAGTATCTTCAAGCTCTGTCTTAAGAGCCTCCAGCTCTTCACCTAAGTCTCTCTTCTGTTTTTCTGCTTTGTTTCTTGCAGCTTTCTCAGATTCCAAGTCTTCCTGGAGATCAGAGATGTGAGATTCCAATTCTCGGATCTTCTTGAGGGCGTTGTTCTTCAGACTAGTTTCCTCTTCAAGCCTGGAAAAAAAGTGTTTAATTTTCTGTATTAAAAAATATCATTTCATTTTCAGGACATCAGTGTATAGAGATTAAAGGTTTATGTTCAAGGTGCGATTTTAATCTTAATAAACTGGAAATACTTAGTTGTACATGGTTACTTCAGTAGGAATCGTGGTTTATGCTTTTTGCCTATCAACTGTGTTGCTACTTTTTATTCTTTACTTGGCAGTGTTATCAAGGCCTTAGGGAAGAAGTGTTTTCATTGCTGTCTGGGCATAACGTTGTTTATGAAAAAACAATAGCGTAAGTATCTTCAGCAGAAAGTCAGGCAGGACGTACTCAGTGTCTGGAAAGAGATATGTGTTTCAGCCTGGGATTTTTAACTTGTATGCAGATTCAGGAGCAAATACCTGGCTAGAGCAGCCTGCAGCTCTTCCTCCTTTTTGGCTAGCTGTGCCTTCAGCTCAGCAATTTGTGCCTGGAGCTCTGCAATTTGCTCATGCAGATCACTTGACTCTCCTTCTAACTTCCTCTTTGTTTTCTCCAGTTCTTGTCTGGTCTTCTCTTCCTTTTTCAGTCGCACTGAAAAAGTAAAGATTTGGGTCATGAGAGTGGGCTAGTGCAAGGAGCTTTCATCTGATCTTGAACTTGGATGCAAAAATGTTCTGGTCTTCAGTGAGGCTATATATTTAAGTGCAAGTTACTGTCTTTCTGAAGCAACATGCAAAACTTTGCTATCATCACTTATTTCCAGCCACTAAAAATATATATATTTATATTTCTCCAGAAACACTTTTTTCCCCCAAATTCCACTCCTCTACTATTTATATGTATAAAGAAAAGCTATCTATGGTTTATGCATCTTGGGGTTTCAGAGATTGTCATTCACAAAATGGTTTCAGCATATGAAAGTGGATAACACATAGTTTTTAGAAGTTTGCTCCAGATTCTCTGTAGGGTTTTATTGTTGTTTATTTTTTATATGTACCAAAGCAAATATCTGACATAAAGCATCATTGTTCATATTACCTTCCAGTTCTGAAATCATAGATTCATGTTTGTTCTTTAGCTTTGTAAGATTTTTGGCTTTTTCTTCCTCTTCAGCAAGATTTGTTGTTAGGTCACTTACTCTTTCCTCAAGGAGTTTTCTTTCCTGAAGAAGAGTAAAATAGTTTTGTTAACAGAAGTGTCTGTCATCGGTTATCATGAAGCATCTCTATACCAAATAAAAAATGTCCAGTGTACTGTCTTTGGATACTGTGAGATTGTAGCAGTACATTTCAATTTGTTGAGTACAGAGGGGCTGGAAAGCAGTATTGAAATTTCCCATGTTCGTTAATCAGCTGTTATTTAGAATCTTACACCCACTTTGGCTGGTAAGTGAAGAGCATATTCAGAGGAGTGTCCCCTTCAAGAAGTACTTGAATACATGTTTACTTCCAATTTTAATCATGAAATCTTAGCTTTTCAACCAAACATGTTCCAATGACTGTGCTTGACTATTGTGGGGATTTTCTTTAAGATACTGTCACCACAGAGGATCTCAATACTAGTATTTTTCACAATTCTGAATTATTCAAGAAAGCATGGAAACTTACTTATCAGAAACTTACTCAGTACAGGCTGGCCTGCTGGTCTGGTAAATGTTGACACATGAAACTCAATAATCAGAAGTATACCATTTCCTCATCTAACTAAAGAGATTTTCTCTCATCCTGGACTATTTTCGCAAAGTAAGAAAATGGGCCCACGATGCTTACCTTTGTTAGCTTGTTATTCTGATCTTCCATGATAAGAATGTCATCTTCCATTTTCTTTATCTTGCCATCTGCTGTAACTTTTTCAAGTTGCAGTTTCTGTCTCGCAGCTTCTTCTTCTTCCAGCTGTTCCTCCAGGTCCTTTGAAGGGAAAAAGAAATCATGAATTCTGGAAATAAAATTTAAATTACAATTTAAATTACAGGCAATGCATAATGTTTGTCAGTCTATGTGGGGTATGTTACAGAGTTGGTTGTTTTTACTAAGAAGTAGACTATCTGTAATACTTTTTGACTTAGAAAGATTTACTGAAAGAGTTTTTTTTACAGAAAATAATTTAAAATTGGGGTAGGGGAAGATGATATATAAAGAATTCTGGATGAAAGAGCATAAATCTGTTTGTTACTACTTCAGTGGCATTAAACACATTCTACTAAGGGCTGCATAGCAGGGTCCTTCATTGGCAAACCTCATGTCCTATTTCCTGCTGTTCTCTGTGATACAAGTTACTGTGTCTGTTTGTTGCTTATGCTTCCTTACCAGCATTTGTTGTTGCATCTTTTTCTTCTCTGCCTGCAACTGTTGGCTGCGTTCCTCCTCTTCCTCAATTCTGGCCTCCATCTCATGCAGAATCTCTTCCAGCTCTTGCTTTTTTGCAGCTAAACGGACTCTCATCTCTTCAGCTTCAGCATACAGTTCAGTTTCTGCCTGAAGTTTCTCCTGAAGGAGGTTCTTCTCTTCACAAAGCTATGGAGATAAAATGTATAGGCAGTTAAAATTTAGATTGCAAGTTGTCCCCATAGTGTCTTTCTACTAGTCGTAATATATGTATAGGTATCTGCACCACAAGTCTTTGTGCAGATACCAGGCTTCTGCGGAAGTTATTGGGAGTTTGCACTGAACTTTTGTTCTGGACCATTGCTATGAATACAATGGTAAGTACAAAGAAAACAGACCTCTTTATCCTAATAGCTTCTGGAAACTGTAAGAGAGTGGCTAATATTTCGGAGAGGCTTAGATCTGTCAGTCACCTGGGTGTGTTTCTGCTCCAGTTCCTTCAGTTCAGCCTCTGCTTTCTGTTGTCTTTCCTTAGTTCTTTGTAATTCTTCATCCTTGGCCTGCATTTCTTCCTCTTGGCGGGTGACCTGTAGCAGTGGTTTCACCTGAAAACAAAAAGAAAATTAAGAATCATACCAGCAACTTATTTTACTGAATATAGCACTTAATGGTGTCAGGATGACTGGTGCTGGTGGTAGCACTACCTGCTGCCGTTCAGGTAGTGGGCAAATAACGTCTAACCACACTTGGTGTAAACATCTTTAAACCAGCAAGCCCTGGCAGCATTCATAACCATTTCTGCATTCATTCTTGAAGTCTCGTGAGCACCTCTAGTTCCAGTAGTATCACTTGCTGAAAGACTAGAAGGCTGGTTTTGTGCACAGAGAATGCACAGAGGCTATAACTGCTGCATAGAAAGCCATTCTTGGGAAAAACAACCAAGCCTCTCCACTCACTGGGAAAACACTTAAATTGTTTGAGTGGCTAGAAGGAAGTTAGGGAGCTCTTGAGTCCATATTACCACACGTTTCACAACATTCTGGTTGTTGTTCTAATTATCAATTTGTGTGAAATTATTTCATTTTGGGGAACTAAAATAGTCATACTAAATTTTACGTAGATCTCTGCTTAATTAGTTTTTCATCCCAAGATAAAACTAACTTTAAAGTTAAGTGTTATAAGAATATCCAGAGTGTCTTTTAATCCAAAGTTCTGTGAAGCTAATGAAGCTCTTGCTGTCATCTGTGATGAGCTGAGCAGGGAGGGTGCCTGACATGACTTGTTATCTTGTGCAGTCCATTACTTTTGTAAAGCTGAGATTCACAGACAGCAGTTACTCACTTTGGTGAACAGTCTCCACCATTGCCAGTTCCTCAGCTTCAGGTAAGCAGCACAGTTTCTTTGGATAACCTTCATTGCAGTCAGCTGTTGCTGTCTCTTGGCAAAGGCCCTGTGATAAGAAGCACAAAGCAAATTTGTTTAGTCTGAGAATACAGATTGTAAGACAAACATATTAAGCAAAGAAGCCATGGCATGAGACTCTGCTGATTTGAGAAATCTGCACAAGTTCTTTTGTCACTTAAACAGTACCTCTGCTTTCTCAAGAAAAAGTGTTTAGATCTGTTTAGATTTCCAGTATTTTATTTAGTCTTTGGGGTTTTTTTTGGTTTGTTTGTTTCTTTTTGTGCTCAGTAAATATGCATACTTTTTGGTTTGTGCCAATAGTTCTGGATATGAAGTATATGGGCATTGAGAGCACACACTGGTTATCTCTGTTGAAACCTATTATGTTTAAATTTATTTGATCATCAATTTTGAAAGCCTTGGTATTGTGCAGAAAAAGGCTATTGCTGTTAATAGTTTGGTGATATGTATTAACTGAGAGTGTGCCAAGTGACTCCAGTGCTTCATGCTCTAACTGCATAAGAAATGATGTTTTGTTTTACAAATGCCAGTGGTACTGCTATTTGTATTGCAACAGTGCAAAAGGTATTTGTAGGCTATAATGCACCTTGTCCTACTAGTAGAAATGTGTTCAAATGATGGGTTGTTGCCTAGAATGCTTCCTGTATGGAGAGTTTAAGTAGCCTCACAATGTAATTGCTTCTCTGTAACTATACTAGTAAGCTACTTCTGGGCAAGAAATGAGTTCTTTTAGGTAAACACTGAAACACAAGTTGAATTGTAAAGCAATACTAGCAAAACTAGCTAATAATAAAACGTCTGAATATCTTCAGTTTGTTATGCAGAGAACTAAAGCTACTGTAGATAACCCACTGCCAAATATATATTTTTTGTTAGTACATATTCTTACTTTCTGGCCAGGTAGCCTCGGCACTGAGCCTGGAAGGCAATAATGACGTCTGTGATCTTCAGGTCTCTCTCTTCTTCCAGGTGTGCCAGAACACCAGTTCTGAAGAAGATTTTACTCTGTCCAATTCTGTACAAGTTGGGATCAAGTTCCAGTGCTTTGATCTGGAGGGAAACAGGGATATTTGTTAATTCCAGTGCTGAAGTTTAGAATATTAAAAATTATCATTCTTTTCATTCCCAACAGTTTTTATGTAAGAGATGTAGATCTGATTATCAATAGGATCAAAGTTGTTTTCCTTACCATCAGTATGCAAGCCTGCTTCCCATCCATGAATCCTTTAGGAATAGCATTCGCAGCAAGAATTTCGTATCTGCCAGAAGACACAAATGTTAGAGAGGTGGAAAAATGTCAGATTATTTTGTACAGGCAAACAGTATACAAGCCCTTTTAAACCCTACGTAAGGACTGAGCAAGGGATTCCTACCGCTGACGGAATTCCTGGAAGACAATCCTGTTGGGGAACCCTTGCCGGCAGATGCGAATACCTTCCAAGACACCATTGCAGCGCAACTGCTCCAGCACTAAATGGGCATCAAGTTTGCCAGCCTGAAAAGGAAACAAAAAGTATCTTTAGCACAGTAGAAATTTGCAAAGATGTTGCTAGCACATATCTACGTTTGAAGACATCTTTCAGTTCTGCAGTGTGCACTAATAGTGCACCAAGAGTCTGACATTTGATATTTACCCTTTTTTCATGATTTGGAATGATGCAGCGGACAAAGTTGGGATTGGTATTCCTTAAGGTGGTCATCAGTTTAGTCAGCTGCTCCTTATAGAGTTGGCCCACAGTACGGAACATGCCTTTTTTGGTTTTGGAAGAGCTAGGCAGTGAACTTTCAGTCATCTTGGCCATCTGGTCTAGACCAACAATACGATCCACTGCAATATAAAAAAGAACATGTGAGTGGGAATGCTTGTATCAATTGTCTTCACCTCGCATTACACTTTTCACTGCCATTGCTAAAGTGCACCTTCCAGAAGAGGACCAAAATACTTTTGATGCAATTGAAGCATGCTAATGAAAGCATTAGAAGATATTTCTGGGTAAATAGCCTACTTCACTCAAAAATAAGGGTTTTTGTTAACTAGTGGAAGAATGGAACAATTGAATGCACAGCACGTATTTTATGGCTGCTTTACAAGGACAGTCCTGCAAAGTATCCCTACTAGTAGGTTGTGTCACAATGTGTGACAACCATTAAATATGTATCATGTAGTATGCATCTTAAAGATCCATGGAAAATTTTTAAACAAATGCAGTGTTTTCTATACATACAGATATTCTTCTGGTTGAGTTTATTTGAGATAAAACTTTGCTGAAGAGAATTGTAGTAGAATTTTTGGGAGAGGAACATGTAAGTTAAGGACTGCACACAGTCTTTCATAACAGCACTGACAGTGTATTAAGTGAGCTGTCTGATATCTTCCATAACATTATAGTAGCATAATGAATATTTTTTATTGCGTTAAGTAAGGAAATTATTTTGATAGTACTTAGCTATCTAATATGCTTTTCATAACTATTTAGAAAAGAGTACTCTTGTCTCTTAGATCAATCTCTTCCACTCTTATCATTTTCACGCTTGTTGCCCACTCCTAAGGGAGAGCTGGCAGAACAGTTCTAGTCCAAGTTTCTCCCTTTAAACCACATTAATGGTTTAGAGTTGTGATTCATACCGTCTTTCCAAAGGTCTGCCACAAATTTGTCTGAAGACTGGTTCAGCAGAGAAGTCACATTGTCATTTAGTGGATCCATGTTCTTTGTCAGCCAGGCACTTGCATTGTAGGTAACCTACAGAAAACAATGCTGGGTCAAAAATCTGTTTGGCCAGAAATATGGCAGAGCCAAGAACACAGGGCACTGTTCTAACATTATCTAAAAACTAGTAAGATTTGAAAAGTTTTCTATAGTTGAGAGCTGAGTTGAATACTTGTTCTTGCATGTACTCCCATCTAAAGAGATTTTTTTTGCAGACATACACGACAGACTGGCAGAGGAACCACTATGCCTTTAAAAATCTGTTTGCTAGAGAGGAATCCAAGTTACTTGGATATTCAAAACCGCAGTGCTGGTTATTTTTGTTTTCATGTGAGCTTAGCACAGCCATGAATGTTGTGCGAATCTTATTCCCCATCTTTTGTAATTGAAGCCCTTAATATATACGTTATATAACTAAAGCCATCCCTATCAATAGGAGAACAAGATTGATTCATTGTTGGTCAAACAGTAAAAAAGAAACAAAGTTCTGTAAGTCAGTGTGGCTCAGTCTCTCTCATACCTTTCCTGCATAGTGCAGTATGCAGAACTCAGTTTTATCCTTGAGTTGTTTGGACTTCTGGAATTTGGGATGGTTGCCTTGTTCTTGAATTAGTTTCTCCACAAAGGAAGTGTCAGTAGCTTTGGGGAACCAGCACTCCTCATCCAGCAGAGCTAGGACACCTGGGGGGTTGGTCTGCAACATGAGTAATACCAAATCAGCGTAATGAAAGCCGGAGACAAAGAAAGAACACCACCTTCTTTTTGCTTTGTTGCTCATTGTCCCAGGCAACAACAATCTGAAATATCTTAAATGCTTTTCATATCGATACATAATGGACCCTGATGAAACCTACATAGTATCCCATCTATACAAATACAGACTTACCGGTCTTTCAATTAGCTCAATGCAAGGTTGCAGGTCAAGGCCAAAGTCAATGAAATTCCATTCAATGCCCTCACGTTGATATTCCTCTTGCTCCAATATAAACATTGTGTGGTTGAAAAGCTGCTGAAGTTTCTCATTAGTGTAATTGATGCACAGCTGCTCAAAGGAATTGATCTGTGAAGAGGACAAAAGAATTGTATTTCTGATGTTAGAAAGACACCTAAAAGAGGCAGTGTAAATGTCAAGATAAAAATTTCTATATTCTATTTTTTTTAAAGATTACTGTAATTCAAAGGATCCATATTTTTGTTTTTTAAGGCAAGTTTACAGTAAGATCACATGTAGTAAATCTCAAAAGTGGGACCTGTCCAATAAACCATAAAGACCAGACCTTGGTTCTAAACACAGAGTCCCCCAGAAGCCCAGCAGTGATGCTGCCAGTTCCCAGCCCTTCCAAATAAAATAGTCCTGTGGGTTCTCTTGGCCATGTAGTGCTGTCCAGCTTGAGAGAATCAAATTGTTTATGTGGTTCTGAATTTAGATATTTGTTATCTTGCATTCCGAACTACAGCCTGACGACAACAAGGAGTTTAACCAATTTGTGTCCCACAGCACATACCTCAAAAATCTCAAATCCAGCAATATCAAGGATCCCCAAGAAAGAAGCTCCTTGTCGTTTAGTTTTATCAAGAGCTTTGTTTACACGAGTTAGAATCCAACGGAAAAGACGTTCAAATTTTGCTTTGGCCAAAGCCTCTATGGCAAAGTCAGCCTGAAAGAAAGAAAATTCTAAGTAAAAGAACAAATCAAATTAATTGCTAGTTTAAGTAAGGATAATGCAAAGAGAGAAAGAAAACAGATTCCCTTTAGATGTGATGTAAGAACGAAAAGAAGAAAGGGAAAATAACTCCAGGAGAGCAGAGCAGACTGCAAGTAGGTACCTGCTCTTTGGTCTGAGCTTTCTGAACAACATCTCGTCCTACTTTGATCCTTGGGGTTAGAATAGATCTTGTGAAATCAGTCACATTAATCCCCATCAGGTGACAAACTTTTTGAGCAGCTAGAATAAAAAAGTGATATTATATTTTATATTTCAGATTGAATTTTCTCTTAGTGTGAATACAAGCAAATCAACAATTATGTAATGTAGTTTGTCTTCCTTAAAAGCTCCTCTGTTGTACATGCAAGAGATGCCACTTGCTGTAAAAGTATTATTCGTGATACAACCAAGGAATTCACTGATGATCAATTTACGGATTCAAGATTACTAAAAAAGGTAATGAATATTGAACTGATTCTAAGTATGGCATATCTTTTAAGACCTGTGAAGCATATACACATTAACAGTTTAAAATCTTGTTAAAGAGTGCTTCCTCAGTTGCTATTTTATTACTTTCTTAATGTTAACTGACTTTTTAAAGGGACAAATCATACCAGTATTGTCAGGCATAGAAGCTTGATCAGTGTTTCTCTCCTTCTTGAAGACAATATTGCCCAGCTGTAGGACAGACGAAACAACCCTCAATATAGCTGTAAGATAAGCAGACAGTATAAGTGAGGAATGGAATGGACACATTTAGAAAACTTCATTCTCTACAATAATGAAAGTTCATTGTGTGGCCTTTGGTAGTCTGTACTTCCATGGAAAGATCTAGATTTGCTATAAAAGACAGCTATAAGCTGCAATAGTTTGAGAGCTTGCAGAAGTGCAGCTCAAATAATCAGTGCAATTGAATAAATGGGCCACTAAGGGAACGCCAGCATCTGCAAAATGTGCTGCATCCCCAGGTAGACCTCCAAATCTTGGGAATTCATCTCTCAGTCAGAGTGGCCTATGCTTGGTCATTTGAGAATCTCTATCTCTGCTTTTAAAATCAAACATATCAATGAGTTTCCAACAGCTTTAAGAACAAGTGGCAATTCCAAAGCTCTGGCTGTGCAGTATGTGGCTGTTCATTCACGCAAATGAATAGTGTACAAATATTCACAGGATTAGTGTGAGTACAAAACAGTAATTTATTAACACTTAACTCTTAAAATGTAGAGAAATTTCATTCCTTTTAACCTCAGGTAGTAAAATCTGCTGCTGTGTTACAGATGAGATCATATTAATATAGAGAGGTCATTTTGTTCATTTGGTAGACTCATACAGGAGAACAATACTGTCCCAATGGGCTTGTATTTTAAATCATGAAATGAAAGGGGTTCAGACAGCAATACAAGTCATTTTGATGTCATGCACAGTGCTGCTATCAACACCAGTGCATGTGTTCTGGCTGTAGAACGAAGCAGTTTTTGTCAGTACCATAATCTAACTTTACCAAGACAGATTTGTACTACTGTCCTGCAAGGCAAAGCATTTTTTTTCTTAGAACCCTCGGGCACTGATGCAGACGGGAAAGGTAACAGAAATCAGCTCTGGCTGACAAAGCTGCTCGAAGGCTGGAGTGATGGCGTGACACAGTTTCTGCCACCAGGTGTCACTTGAGGCATGGCGGCTGCAGCCATGCCGATGTACGCTGGTGAGCACCAGACAAAACCCTACACTCTCCCCGGAACTGTGAGGGGTAAATGGTGGTTAGTTTGATGCCTGTGGCAGGCCCACAATTTCAAGGTAGCTTAGTTGTTTGTTCATGTTTATTTTCTTTTTCTCCGAAACAGTGGACAAAAGTAAGAGTTATTTCAGAGAATCACAGAATTTGAGCCTGATCCACTCATTTAAAAATTATGTGAAGTAAGATTCTACATTCATATGTTTATTTTGCGAAGTGGTCATTCTGGACAGAATGAACTGCAGTGCATTTGGATCTGTCTATATTATTACTTGCAGAGTACGATCTTGCTAACAGTTCTCACCTGTCTGCTCCTCCTCAGTAAAGCCCATAATTTTCATGGCTTCCAAGGTCTCCAGGAACATCTCATCATCTTGTTGAGCAGGAATAGGAACGTGACCATTAGATAGAAAGGTATAGTTGTTGAAGCCTTCCAGCAGCAGATCATCTAAAAGACAAAGAAGAAAAGTGTAAGTGTGTCAGCTTAATGACATAAATATTACATTTACTTCTGTATGTAACCTAGTCAAAATTCTCTCTCTCTTCTTGCCCCACTAGACCTGCACATTCATACTGAATAATAATAAGAATGGAACCAGGTAACAACAAAAGGGGTCCAAACCAAAAAACTCTTAAGTTCCGTACAATGGCCAGCAACAGATTCTTAGCATAAATATTAGGGAAAATGTAAAGTTATCTATTGCTTTATACATTCTTTCAGTCAGTCATGTATGGAAAAATGTTGTATTGAAGCCATGATGTTCCAACTGATATTATATTGAATTCCTGTTTTTTTCATCCACTTAGACTTTTTACCACGACGTTATGAAACTATGAGTTTCACAGTGTAAACATGAGCTATGAGAAAGATATTCTCTTGATTGTGAAACTGCTAGCCAATAATTATATTTGGAACCCCCGTTTTTGTGTGTGTGTGTAAAAAATAATACACAACTCCTCTTTGTTCATCTTGATATCATTCAAGATCAATGAGTTTATATCTGCTGTCAATTGAAAAATAACGATAAACTGTAAACCACCTGGCTTAAACAGACAACAAGTTGAAACTTTTTTACAGTTCACTTAAGAGAATTACTTTCTATGGCTAAAGAGCTGTTTATTTATCAAAAGAATTGAATAACATTCTCTTTAAGATATTAAGATAAATCACACAGGTAAGCTATTCTTCATGCTGTTCAATGAGATGTGAGAATCATTAGCAAGTAACTTACTTCTCATTTGTTCAGAAGCTCCAGCAATCAAATAGTAAAAGATATGAAATGTTCGCTCATCTTTAGCCTGACGAATAGCACGGGATTTTTCAAGCAAATCTGTTTGCCAAGTATGTTAAAACAAACAAACAAACATATTCTGGTCCTCCCATAATTGTGCCTTCAGTCTCAGAGCCACTGATAGCATTGCTTAAATTTTTTGCCATGAGCTTATCTAACATGAATTTGGTTCTAATTTTGTGTTGAGATCACTAGTACTGGTTTAATTATCACCATGAGGAGTAGATGAATTCCCTACCTCTTACTGTATGATAAAAGCTGGTAATCATGATAGTAAGCTCTGTGATAGTCATACATGCTTCTAAAGTTAAACATATAACAATGGTATTCATAACAACATTTACTTCACTTTCACAATTTCACAAATACGATTCTTTTATCATAGGGTAGGGCTCCTAAAAACTTTTTTGAGGCCAATATTGTAGCTATAGAAGCAATAAAAGCAAACTTTATTTATTGTCTACTTTTCTGACTAAAACACTAAAAATGTAGTTGGCAGCAGCGTTAAGTATTTTGACATCAGTAGCTGATTTACACTTTAAATGATATAATGCTATAGATAAAAATTCAGATAAGACCTGAAAAAATAAAGCCCATTTTTTCTGTATGGGTCACTTCTCAAAATAAGTGCAGAAAGCTAAACTGTTTGTTGTTTGATGTTACATTCAACAGATAAGATCCTTCTTTTAGCTGTATGTTAATTTCTCCTGATTTATTGGAGCAAGCAGCTCCTCTTTGCAAAGATGAGCAATGCAGCACTGAGGAATTTAGCTACATGCCCATTTATACACTATCTCATAAACATAACCCTGGGAAGAGGCATCAGTACTTGCCAAGTAAAGTCAATCTAAGTTTAATTTCTCTGAAATACTTGTACTTTATTCCTGGAAAAAGCCCACATCAGAGCTAATGATATATAGCTCTAGGTATGTCACTTGAATGACCAGGTCTGTATTTAGTTCCCAGAGCAGACAAATTCTCTGAAAATATCTACTGCTTGATGCCATATGGGACATCAGCAACAGCAAAATATTTGCTTCACTTCAGTTATGCAAGTTCCCAGATTAGTAATTTCTGACCATGGTGATTTAACAAAACATGCAAAGATCAAGGCAGATTCAGGTAAACTGTCCTTCAGTTACACAAAAGGAGAGGAACTACAGAGCATCCAAAGACAGCTCTTCTGGCTGCACCATGTTATTTAGCTTTTCCTGTCTCTTTTATTTTTCCTGCTATCAAGTTCTTAGAGGGGTAGGGACAAGTATATCACTTTTATTGAGATGACCATTTATGCTGCAGACATAAACTGTATTATCGTATGGAGTTCTCCCTCAGCAGGTTATTCTCCACACTTTTTATTGGAATCCATCTATCCTTGTGCAGCATACATAATTTTTGCAGGAATACCAAACCTGGGCATGAGAAATGGGAAACATCCTCTGAGCTCCTGGATAAACTGTAGGGATAATGCCACATTCTCAGTCTTTTTTTTTCTTCCCCCTCCTCCCAAATATTCTATAACAGCTCTGATGAGAAACAGGAAAGTTTCAAATCTTTTTATATTTGGAAATGTAGATGACAGGGAACTGGATTGACCCATGCAGGATTATACCTGTGATGTGAAACGAAACAACTGCATAGCTTTCAAGACCACATGCAACCTCAACCACAAATCAATCTCCTCCACTTTCTGAAGCTAGATGTGGAGAATAGCACACTTTCCTATAGATGAAAAAGGAGATCTGAAAATGTAAGCACAAGAGTAAGACAAACTGAGAATCTGGTACCAGCATAAATGGAGCCACTTCCCTCCATCTTTGTTTATACCAGCCTCAGCAATATTTGCCTTTCTTAGACATGCAGTGCAGCTTGTTTATCTTTCTTCCTTCTAGCTTCCAGTGCTGTTCACAGAAAAGGATACAAGTCTCTATGTTTGCTCCGACAATGTAGCCTGTCACATCAAAGTTGATGCGGATAAATTTGCCCTGTGAAGGAAAAGAAGACCTAGGTTGGGCTGTTCTTTTAGGTTATGTGGGGTTTTACAACAGAGTCAGCAGAGGTAGGAGTAGGAGTGAAGGGCCTGCAGGGAAAAAGAACATCTGCCAGCACTCCCAACAAAAAGTAACATCAAGTAGTTACAGCTCCCATCTACTGTTACTCTAATGTGAATCCATGTGAGATGCTTCTTCTCTTGTAGTCTTTCATTTAAGTCATTAACAACTCTTGCTAAATAACAGGAATGCCTTCCAACAAGATGCATGCTCAACAGTGGTGCAAAGAAAAAGGAAGTACAGATTTTCTTTTCAAATTTCTAGAGGATGATGATATGTCCTGGAGCAGTAGTTGACTTTGCAAGGCCACACACAGACCGATAAACTGTGACAGAACAATGGTACTGTCAAGTCTGAGATTGATTTTTAGTCCCGTTAAAGGCCAAATTCCTATTTCAGAGAGAAGTTCTAAACAGTAATTCAAAGGGATTGGTTTAGAGAAGCTTTTTAGAGAGAAGTACTGAAAGAAAGAGGGTGATTCTTTGTACACTGATTTAAAGAATGGTGTACCTCCCCACAATGTAGACCCAAATGTATTTCTCCTACTTACAAATCTGGAGGAGTTGTCATTCTTCACAGTTTTGGCATTTCCAAAAGCTTCAAGAATAGGATTTGCCTGTAGAAGCTGTTTTTCCAGCTCACCCTAAAATTCATTCAGACTCAGTTAACCCTGAACTTCATAATTAGTTATTTAAAAACAGTTCATGTACGCTGGAGAAAAATGTGGAGAAAGATAATTTAAGCCTCTAACTTTTTTGTTGAAGACTGCACTGCTTGTGGATTTGTTTTCATTCCCTGTTAATCTCTGTTTATATATTTGTGCAGTCAAGTGCTGTCCTGTATACATGACCCTTTTCCAGCCCAGTTGCCTGTGGCAGATCAAAGTCTATTAATCTGTTTAGCATCATGACTGGTCTTTCTTAGTAAGAGGGTCATTCAGTGACAAATCATATATATATATATATATATATATTCAGTTTAATGTCATTTTTAAAAAGATTTTCTTAAAGGAACCTCTAGCATATCTTTTTCAAGTTAGTTTATCGAGATCCTTTGCTAGCAAATGACGATGTAATTAGAATAACTTGCCGGGAATCATTTTAATGTAATGCAGCACAAAGCTACAAAGCAGATTTCACCAAGTTTATTAATAATGATCCATGCAAGGCTATTTAAGTTAAAAAATGGAAGTGCATTGATTTATTTCAAACTAAGATAATGAATTCTCATGCAAACACACAAACCTTTTATTATGTTGTTAATTGTGCTTGGTAATTGCTAGTGGAAACACATCATGCAATGAAATGAGCATGCATTTAATACTCCTATTTATAAACAAACTAGTGAAGCTGAAAAAGTCTTTGCTTACTAAGATGGTTTGACAGTTTTTTTTCAACTTTTCATTTAGCTCTGTGATATAAAATTACTTTCACATTTGCTTCTTCTCACCATACTTGTGGACTACTTTACAGTAGCATGCCCCATTTTAAATAACTCATGCTGAATAACATCAGAAAAAAGTCCTTGACGGATAATATGATACCATTTAAATCATTCTAATATAAAAATGAGTCAATATTTAAGTTGAATCCAGAGGCAACAATTTGGAAAATGACATTTCTTCCCAATTAGGGTGCAAAACTGGTAACCTTCTGAATAACCATTTCTGAATTTCTTGTGATTTATATGGGAATGATGAGAGTTACCTCAAAAATATGATAAAAAAACAAGAGTTTCTTAACAAATGACTAAACTTATCTACAAATGACAGAACAAGGACCTTCCCAAGAGTGCAGATGTTTGGAGAGCTAGGGCATGAAGAAAGTCCACTGAACTCCATGGAGTTGTTTGGGTCAGCAATGAATTTAGTTTTTGTCAGAGAGCTTGTCAAATGAATAATAAATAAATTAAGGGGCAACACTTTGTCATAGCTGGTCTGAGAACCAGCAATCAGAATGGGGGAAAAAGGATAATACAAAGAATTGCCTGGCACACAAACGAACAGTATATGCCAGCAAACCTGCCTATATTCCCAAAGTACTGATATGCTGGATGGCACACCACAGTGCAGGAGGGCCCACGAGGGCCTGTTACAAACTGCCATAACATACCTGCAGACACACGCTGCAGTGGGAACTGCTCTGTTACACATTACAGCAGCAAGCTAGGAGCATGCTAACCTTTGCGGATGTGAACAGTCCTCAACAGTTACATGAAAATGTAAAATTGAAAGCAATATCAAATGGAAAGCATGCAGCCAAACAAATCAATCAACACCGTGAGTTTTTAGGAATTATTTCACAACAGTCCTAGAAAGTTCAACCTGAAGTACGGAAAACATTTAGATATTTTCATTCAGAAATCGCATTGCTCAATTTCAGGCTGAGTGACTCTTTCAGGATCGTGGGAAATTTCATTCAAACTATGGCAATTTAAACACACACATATAGAAGAGAGTGATATTTGAGAGATGACCCTGCCTGTGTCAGACCTCATTCTTCATCATGGAGCCTGACACAGTTAGGGTTGATTTGTGAGAGCATTTGGCGCTATTGTTGCTTTTCATCATATCATACAACATATTTCAACAAAATCTCTTAAATTTTTTGAGGTGCAACAATAGCATGCAGATCTACACTCAGTGCCTTAAACACACATCAAACAGTCTAAGTTACTCACGTAAGAAAAAGATGGACCTTGCTGTATTGAATAATGTGGTATAAAACAAGTGTCAGTATCATTTCCATTACACAGACATTTTTATCGTTTTTCCTGTATTAAAATAACCAATACACAGTTTCCATGCAAATAAACCAGAAAAACAAAGAAAAACAATCTATTGCAGACATACCAAGAGTACAAATACAAGTAGTGTATTGGAGTAGTTTAACTGAATTAAAAATTAAAAAAAAGAAAAAAAAGACCTGAAGTAAAGGGATGGGATTTGGATTCAGTCCCAGGTCAGTCTCCCAGGACCAGGCAGGAACAGATATTTTTATGGTAAATCCCCAGCTCTTCTCTGGTGCAGTGGAGGCATTTTGCTATTGATTATTTTTTTAATGACTGAAATTGCAGTGTCAGTAGCCCTAGGCACTGAATTACCACTTGTCAACACATTATAGAACAATTTAGACTTTCTCTCAACCTTCATCTGGTGGATATTTGCCTTCGCGCCTGTCTTGGAGCCAGTTTAATCCTGAGACTCATGTAATTCCCTGGAGGAGCGAGCTGCAATTACAGTTACATACTCAGTGGAATGGCCCTGAAACCACAAGTTCATTTCCCCCAGCCACTGAGAAGGACTCAGTTGGATGAAATAAGCTTTTTTTTTTCATAAACATTCAACAAAGAAAAACTATGCCTTTGATATTGGGCTGTTTCCAACAACTTGAATCACAGATTTCTAGAAGTAGATGCCCCGGGGGGACATCTACTTCTTCCCCTTCCCTGAAGTACAACAGTTATTCACGGTGGAAGAGGCAAGGCAGTGCTTTGGAGTTTTCTATATGTAGGCATATAGCACAGACAAGACTCAGCACAAGTGTGGTTGTGAGGTTTTTACTTTGTTTTGCACTATGCTACTAATTCCTTATTTTTCACTCAGACTTGCACTTGGGACACACTGACATCCTTAAAAGCTTCCTTAATGAAGCTTTTTTTGTCATAAAAGTAAATTGCTACTTTATTTTATTTATTTATTTATTTATTTTTTCCAGGAGTATTTGAGTAGCATAAAAAGGGCTGGAAATGACTTAGAACCTGGAGTTACATCAATGAAAACAGCAGACAGGTGAGAGCTTCAGCCACACCAATATCTCAGAGAACTGCATCGACTAAGCTAATATTACAGTTCAGAGCAAAATGATGAACTTTAATCACTAAGGTAAGATTATTACAGATTTTGAAGAAAGTACTTTATTTAAAATCTGCCTTCCAACATTTTCCTGTGTCAAAGGAGCAAAAAGAAGTAATAGGATATATTTTGGAACTCTTAGCTACCTTGCAAGAAAATATGCCCGCTAACAAAAGTGATCAATACTTTAGGAGTTTAAAAGTTGTTATACATTTTTTGTGTTTGTGTTGTAATATAAGGATAATATTTTAATTAAAAGCTTTTCCAAACTTCTTATTTTCCAGGAGCCAAGGGTAGAATAAGAACCCCAGCCCTTGCAGAACTTAAGTCTTTCATGTTATGATATAAATAGGTGCTATGCATATAGAAAGCTATGAATATTTCTCTTCTAACAAAGTACATTCTGATTTGATGCCTAAGAGGATGTCAAACAAAAGATTTTTTTTTCCATAAACACAGAGCTGTGACCTAATTGTGTACTCTTAATATGTCAACTATTTGGCAAGCCACAAACGTTGAATTGCTGTTAGCAATAAGCTCAATACAGTCCTAATAGTCAAAAAGGAGAGTTGAATACAGAAGAGCTCACTCACAGTGATGCTGGTGTCCTTTTTGCCCTTATGTGATGAAGCAACAACGGCCAGGTACTGAATGACCTTTTTGGTGTTCTCTGTCTTGCCAGCGCCAGATTCACCTCTGAGGGGAAAGAAAATAACACAAAAAAAGCTAGGTAACTGGTGAGCTCCTTCTGCCATACAACGTACGTCATGTATAAAAACAAGACTGGAGTCTGCCTGGCTCTGTAAATATCCCAGAACACAGTCTCTCTGATTCCACCTGACTTTAGCATGCAAAGAACGCAGTATCAGAGATGTATCTCTGTCCCATTCGTGTTTTGACTGGACACTGGGCCATTTAAGGCAATTGTAAAACATTTTTTATGGCAGTGCCTGAACATTCATGAGAACTGAGGCTGGCAGGGAGTCTGCTCATACTTAAAGAACAACAACAACAAAAAACATTAACTATAATGTGGTACAAGAATAAGAAAAGCTATCAACAAAAATACAGTAATTTTCTCTATGGAAATTCTGGCATTAAAGCAAGTTATATCAATGCTGGAGTATAAGGGAACTATACTGCCTTACATGACTTCTAAGTTCAAACTTTCCATGAATTCAATGGGACCAGAGCTGGCACTGCTGGAGGCATCCCTGCTAACAGGGTAGCAGGAACATCTCATATGGGGACATTTCTGACCAGCAGAACTGCCATCCTGGCTGTGCTCTGTCTCTAGGGAAGCAGGAATGCAGTGGTAACTTTCCACCTTCCAGAGGACTTCCATGGTTAAATTTATTTACATCTTCCAAATCTTCTCATAAAGTAAAATGCTAGTTTTCAAAGTACAGGAACAAGGACCCAGATTTACAGTCTTTACTCAGAAGTAAGAACATTTCCAGCCTACTCTTCCCTCTTTGTCACATTTTATCATCTCAGTTCTGCTAGATATCTTTGACTCTGATGATGATACGGACTAGAATGTTTTTATATTGTCCTGTATCAGCAGTCAAAAAGGGCATGAAAGTGGGTGTGGATGTAGTAATGTAGTAATTTAGCTCCTCTGACTCTGTCAAGCTAGTGCTGTGAGGACAACAGTCTACATGGAAGTCAAACCTCTGTGCCTTTGGATTTAAATTAAAATGAATTTAAAAATTAAAAGAACAATATATGTAAAAGTCCCACAGATATTTGTCAGCTCTTTTGAAACTGAGTCTGTTTAGCTGGATCCACTGCAGTTGTGCTTCTTTTCCTAATTAGGAAATAGAGGAGTTAATTTTTCCTACCAAGGGACTGGTGAAAAATGGACATAAAAAAATATGAGTAAATGCTGGGAAGAACTTTTAAATTGTGATGACATTGATTAAACTAAGGAAGCCAGAAACAATTTCTGTCTGATGCACATCATGATGAGGAACGTTTAGAGTTTTAACCAGAAATAATTGAGACGGTTCCTTTTCACAAGACCTGGGTTAATTTGCACAGTTTAGAGTTTGGATCCATCCCTGCCCTGGACTTCAGTGCTAAAACATTTCCATGTTTTATTGATAAAAATTAAGTGTTCTGGGAACAATTCCAAGCCAAGCACACCAATTTGAAGACATATGCGTACAAAGTTTTCAAATAAATCTACCTTGCATCTCTGATACTTTGGAAAAAAATAAAAGCATTCTTCAAACAAACTGTAGGCTTTGAGCTATTCTATTTTATTAAAGGTTATTTGTAGTTCATCACTACATGAATTGCATTTCCTTTCTCCCAGGGCAATGGTGCCCATCATTTGGCTTTTCCCTGAATGCCTGTGAGTATTACCATATAAGGCATCATTTTCCTTGTAATTATCCTACCATACTGTAATGCTTTAGTTACTTAACATTTTGTTCTGTGCTTGCTTTCCTTAACTCTTTGCTCCTGCACAGTTTTCTATTTTCTGCAGCTATTCTTCTTGAGCTTTTAAATTCCTTTTGAAGTGGACAACAACAAATTCTTCAACATGAAATGGAACTGTTTCAGCATGAAATGGAAAACAGACATGATCTCACAGCAATAAGGATGAAAAAAAAGTAAGTAATGAAGTATCGTGTTTATAGCTGATGAATACTGTATTTTTTCAACACATCAAATCACTCCTAAATGTCCCTAACAATACACAAGTCTGATAAACAAGTACTCATTAAACAACATTACGCTGAAGGATCCAGCAGAGCTGTATGACAAGGTCTAGACTTCATCTCAGTGATAGAATCCAATGTGTTTGAAGAGTAATTAATTAAGAGGAATAGTTGAATTAGGTTCAGTGCCTTTAAACATAAAGAAGCTTACAAGGGGAAATATCTAGGAGGAGGAGAGCATGTGACTCAGTTGATTTCATAGGTGAATTAAACTTTTCCCAGAACTATTGAGCTGCAGCAGAACTGGTCACGCTGCTTTTTTTTCTCAGCATCTTTCTTGAAGTACCATCGTTTCTGGGATGGCAGAAACAAGTTTTATTGTGAGGTGGTATGAAGAATCCCATCTGTTTTAAATCTGCATGCTCTCTTTAGTCTCAGTGACTCAACTGTTAAATAAGGGCCTGATTCTTGCAAGCATCATGATTACAGCACGGACCATACACACAGTGGGGTTCCTCTCAGGAGGCGTCTTCTGGTTGTTTATGTTCCTCAATCTGCAGCCTGAATCATGTTCCAAGCGAGGAGTGCACTGTACAAAGTCTATTACCTCTATCCTAAGTTTTTTGGGGAGCAGAGAGATCATCTGTTTAACTGAAGTATCTCAAATCATTCTTATTGCTGCCATTCTTAGAAGCAGCGCGTTTATTGCCAGTGCACTTCTATTCACCCAGCTCAGGTGGGCAATGCAAAAACAAAGAGAGGAAAAGCAGTAACTGTTGCACAGCTGTGATAGTCCAACAGCAGTACTTAGAACATATTTTCATCCTGAGAATCTGCCTTGTTTTCCCAGAGTGAAAAGATATACTAGGCTTATAGGCTTGCTACACTAAAAAGAAAGCATGAAACAATGCTCTCTCATTGTGTGACATGTTTTACATTTATTCCTCCTTCATTTCTTGCCCAGATTTTTGTTTTTGTTTTTTGTTTTTGTTTTTGTTTAGTAACTCAGTCACTGATTTAAAGCACAAAAGCCCACTTACTTAGTGCTATTGAATCCTCCACAACTCCATTGCTTTCACCTTAAATGAAAATTATCTCTGTTTGAATAGGTTTCCAAATTAGCACAAGGTGAGAGTGGGAAGCTGACTGCATTGGTGTGGGGTAAACCTGGGGTGTAGCTGGGGTGTAACTAAGACTGCTGCATGTTTGGGGAAAGAGTAGTTAAAAAACTGGACTTTTTGTTGAAAACTTGAAAGCTTTCTATATTAATGTTATGATATAAGACTTAGCGTAATTCCACTTTTGGAAACATCTAAAAAGTAACAGCAGGATTTGTTTCAGCAAGCAATGAACCACAAAAATTGACCATTCACACATCCCTTAATCTGGCTACTCTCGCACTGCGGGAAGCCTCTGTGAGCACAGCAGTCAATGAGGTGCTCCAAATCACATTAGAGCTTGGCAGACTTTATCCTGCAGTATGAGATGTGCAAAGATAATGAAAATCTTTGTCCTAGACCAGCTGAATCCCCAAAACCTCGCTCAGAAGCCAGCGCACTGATCCCACTAAGTTTATTTACAAAAAAATCTCAGAAGACTGAGCTGGTTCAGCACCAAGCTCCACCCCAGGTCTAAAGCTGCACAAGATAACAGCGCGGGAGAGAGGCCAGACAGCATTGCTTGCCAGCTCCAGCCTTTGAGATTTAGTGTGCTGGGAAAGAGAAGAGTTTAGCTCTCTTGCAGAGGAGGCTTTGCCTAACAAGACTTCACAATTCAGAAGATGTCTTGGGTGACTGCTTCCTGACATTAGCAGGAGAGAAAGCAGGTGGAGGTAATGAAGCCAAGTGAGGCTCTGGAGAGTTCGCCCCAAAAGGGAGGGTAAAGGATGGTCACTGCCTAACCCAAAATTTTGTCTGTTGCTGTACCAAATGAAGTGCAAACACTACCCTGCTCTGTACATTTTGATAGAAGCTAATCAATCTAAATGCATGCATTAAAGAAAAAGTAGATGAGCTCTTGGCAGCATCCCCAACTATTTCTATATGAATCCTTACAGCTACATTTTTCGCAATTTAGGTGCCAAGCCTTGGAAAGTTTGAGTCTATAGCTATGGAAAGAAAAGATCCCAGGTGATCAGTGCCATGAATTCTTCAGTTCTTGGTCTATATTTTAGGCAAAAAGATAATCTCTTGGAATTTTTAGTAATTATAAAATACTGTGAACTGATTGTACTTGAGAGCTGCCCAGCTGAAAGCTAAGTGAACTTTCTTGTTTCTGTACAGAGAAATAAGGCCAAAACATAGGATAAACTACTAATACTTAAAGCTGTGTATATTGATTTTAGCTTAAATAATCTTGATTTTAAAAGCCAGTGAGAGGAATTTTTCAAGCTATGGGTCATGATGCCAATCCAACATGCAGCAGCTATTCTAAACAAGATTGTTTTCCAGATGGGAAAGACATTTCATTCTCTTTATTTTATGTTTTAGTGGTGTGAAATGCTTTATGTTTTCAGCTCCCAGGTGAAGGGAAAAAAAAAGTATTCATATTCAATATATTTTGTAGCCATCAGAAGTGGAAAAAAAAGAAATTGAAATGGAAAAAGAAATGAAAGAAGAGGAAAAAAGAGATTTTTTATAAGCAAAAAGGACTTGAATTGCAAAAGAAGTTTCCTGAAAATAAAATAAATCTTAATATTCCAAGATTAAAAGATCTGAAGTGTTACTGATACAATAATAAAGTAAGGTGCAGGAATAGAAGGACAAAATGCACAGTTTAAATTAGACTCCATTACCATGACGTGTTTCATCCTGGGAAGAAAGTGATGGTCAATTTTTATTCCAACACTGCATTGATTTTAGATTTGTTTTGGTTTTCATGCATATGTGGACAGATTTGTGACTGATATACTTGCATGTAAGTGAAATCTGTTTATGAAAGGTCAGAGCTATGCTAGTCTTTGTGGTACAGAATATATTGTCTACTTCTTGCATGATGAATTTGTTCCAGCCAGCACTGGCACTCACCAGTACCTGTATGGCTGGTGGTCAGTAGCACTGTTTTCTAAAAAAAATAGGCAGTAGCCACATTTTTATGGATAACCTCCCAAAACCAGTTCAGTTTGGAACTATGACATGTATTTGCAATCTGTGACTGACTACAGCATCACTGTATAATCCTGCTATCAATACTATGCATGCCATCTTCTGCAAACAATTACTTGTTTTTACATGAATTGAATGTTATCTTTTTTCAGGAAAACTGGTAGATGTGTAATACAACAAACATCAAATTATGTCAAAAGCGTCTTCAATAGCACTCAAGTAAATAAAACCAACTCATAAGCCATAGAGGAATGTGGTTGTCGTTAAAGCTGAAGGTTACATAGAAGATCCCCATCCAACTGAACAGTCTGAGTGTTTTGCAAAAATTGGTAGGAATGATAAACCAAGGGGATGTTGGGGAGCAGTATGTCACACACAGCAAAGTTTATTGCAATAAAATCACCATCTGACCCCTGCTACACTAATTGCCCCCACAACATCTGGCACTGATGGCAGGTCAGAACTCGAAGAGGAAAACTTCAGCAAGCCAGGACTTAGAACAGTCAAGGCTTTCAGAACAGGGCTGGCTTAGTTGGTGTTTTGCTATTGCCTAAACCAATTACATGAAGACTGCAGAAAGCTTCCCATAGTGCAGTGAGCACTTAGCCAACGCTCCATGGCTTTGCACACAGGCTTCCAGGTGGGCTGTGCCACATGGAATTGCCAAGCCTTGGCTGCTGCAGCTACACAATATGCAAACAACCCAAAATCACATGAACAGAAAAGATCAATTTCTTAAAATGACAACGGATTGAGGATATGACAGCAGGCTGCTGACGGGCAGGAATGAAAAGCAGTTCAGTTAATACCCAGAATTCTCCATGTTCCTCAGTTTTCTCAGTTTCCTTAAGGGACCACTTAATCTACAGCTACAGTCCCCGACTTCTTGTAGTAAACTCTGAATTCAAAGTCAGTTTAAACTGAGAACTGTGCACTGAACACATATTAGGGCACTGATATTGCTTCTTATTTTGTCAACAGGCAACTCTTCTACTGGGACTGCAGATCAAGCTCTTTGAAGGTGAGAATATATCAGTTCCACCAGAATTTTAATTGATTCTGCGTAAGGAATGACATTGTAATGTTGAGATGTAACAAAACAACAGTTTACTTACGTGCACAGGATAGATTGGTCTTCTCGGTCTGTGAATAAAGAAAAAAATCCATTAATTAGGGAAAATAGCTAAGTCCTGTCAAAAGTACTTACATTTATAATGACTTACATTGAGCAATCTAGACCTTTCAAAACCTGACAATTCACAATTAGTCAAAAGTACAGGGTTCACATCTTATTTAATTTGCCATCATATTTAAATAAGGATCTCTAATGGAAATATTTTGTACCAAAAAATGAACAAAAGGTTAGGAGTTCAAAAATATTTTTTTGTAAATTCTGTGAGAGATGAACTATAATGAGGACAGCAAAAGGATCAGACTGCCTATAAGAAGATTATAATTGATAATTTCAAGTCTGAAACTTGAGTCGTTATTATGCTTATGAAATATGGCTAGCAGCCCACTTCAGACAAAGTCTGGACAGATAAGGCATCAAAAACTAAGACATTTTATGGTGGTCATTAGATTTTGAAAGCACAGCAGTCCAAATAGAATCACAGAATCATAGAATGGCCTGGGTTGAAAAGAACCACAATAATCATCTAGTGTCAACCCCCCTGCTCTGTGCAGGGTCACCAACCACCAGACCAGGCTGCTCTCAGAGCCACATCCCCCTTGAATGCTCTTTTCTCTCTATTTCATTTCAGATTTAGAAATGCCTTTTTTTCAAGACATATCCTTCTGTCTGTGAGGTATCCTCAAGATTGAGGAAAAACAAGATACATTTTTTTTACAACAGCATATCAACAAGAACGTAAGTATTCTTCATGCTTTACCATGAACAGAATTGTCAAACATATATTGGATGAAAATTTATAAAAAGGTGGGCCAAAATCTCTATTTCTACTGTGTAAGGCATGTAAGAGGTTTCTGTGCTGCAGTTCAATACACCATAATGTTGCAGCATGGTTTAGAAGCACATCTTGTCACGTATCTCCCTTTTTAATGTATTTGGAGTTGGAGTTTCTCTTTACCTTCAGAACTCTTGCACAGAATTTTCTACCAAAAGGCTGATCTCAGGATTTTAGGCTGTGATAGTGAACACACACTGAGGTTTCATAATGAGCTCCATAACACTAATGTATTTCCCAAAGCTCCACTGAAAGAAGACTCCCAAAAAAGTCTGTGATACTGACAGGCTTTACAATTTGGCCTCTATGGCAAGATGTGTGTTTAGCATGTTTGCTGTGATCAGTTCTGAAGTAGAACCCTTTTTTAAAACTGGAAATGTTCAGCACCAGAGGAGGTCATATAGAAAGGTGTGGTGTCTCCATCCTTGGACATATTTACAAATAGACTTGATTAAGGCTATGAGAAACTTCCATGGCACTGAAACTGGCCCTTCTTTGCAAGAGGCTGCGTCAAACTGCCTTCTACAGACTGTAGAAAAATCTTCTGAATAAGAAAACAAATTCCCAAGTTGGTCAAATGCATATTTGAATTGTGTGCTTGGCTTATAAACCCGAGACTTGAAGCAGACAGTTAAATAAGGCAGAAGCAAACGTGTCTGTATATTTATGTATTATCCACCAGATGCAGAGTGAGCATGAGACCAGGGAAGCCTCTGGGCAGAAGTTAAGACACAAACCCGTTCCTCATTTTATTTTGTGAGTTGGATGACTTGCAGGGCTACCTATCTGGTTGCTTACCCTTATCGCTGACCTTGCATGTAATAAATGGCATGAGATAAACAAGCTTTCTGTACTGCACAAAGATAATAGAGATAAATTCAGCCTATTAAGCTTACAAGTTGTAATTGCTGCCTGGACCACAGCCAGCCTAGGAAAAGCAGTAGTGGATTCTGCTTTGGCTTAACGATACTAAATAACTGTATTTACTCCCAGTTTCTCATTAACGTTCAAACCGGTGTTGTAACATCAATTGCTTCATTGATCCCTTGCTCAGAAAATGGCACCACTTAACTGCTTTGGTTGGTAAATTGGTACAAAATGAATCATTTCACTGCTGTTGGAGGATTTGTCAACACTGCAGGACTCTTCCACATACACATTTTGGATGAGGGGAGCTGTGCGCAGTGTTTATTTTTCACTGAACTTGGCTTTCTTTAAAATTAAAAAAATGAGAACACAGTAGAATTTTTGCTAAAAATACACTGCTGTGTAAATAGAAACCATTGGCATATATTGATGTTACATCACAAACCCATAAATATCATAAAGAAAATAAAAGTGACTTCTTGATACAGAGTTGCCAGTGGAAATTCTGAGCTCAGGGGACATTAGAAAAAGTAATATTCCTGCAAGCCAAGTATTTTTTCATTTCTCTGCCTGTTGCTCCCCCTTTCCCTTCCCAGTAAGTGATATACCCCTATTGATCGTGTCATATACGAAGGTATGCACCACAGGCATTTGTGCATGTGCACTGTGTGACTCTGATAACAATTAGCCTGAAGGCTACTCGGAGTTCTTGGAGGGAAAAGAAAAACTATGTTGTTTTTTCTTTTTTTTCATCTTTTCCTTGTAATGCCTTCGAAGACCGCGGCTGTGCAATCCAAATGTTCCCTGTAAGCAGGCAGCCCTATGGCTTTCTTGGAGAAGTCTGTGAGGAAGCAGAAGGAAAAGACTCCGCTCTTGGTCACCGGACTTATCCCTTCCTAATGCCCCAAGCAGTTGGCAGCCTTATAAAGTCCTGCAGTAATAAGGGCTATGTTGCTAAGTTGTGCAGTCTGACCTGCAAAACCTCCCACTGACATGCTGGCCAATGTGCATTCATGGAGGGAGAATATGCAGCACTGCTCCATTTCCTTCAAAAGTTTCAACATACTGCAAAGGTAAGGATGAAATCAGGAAACCAAATCCTATTCTGCTTTGTCTTGAGCTGCAATGCCTGCCTCATTTGTTTTCCAGGACTCTCCAAATTGATTGCTTCTATTTCTGTTCCAAAATCTTTTATTTTTTATAGGAAGGATTCTGTCCTGTTTTGGGACACTGAAACATTATGTGGGTAGATTTAGCAGAGAAAATCACTTGCACAAAATAAAACTTGATAAGCATAATTTCTGGGGCTCACAAAGTAACAAAATATCTTGTATGTTCCAATATCTTTATGGTTAATACCTTTTTTAAAAAATACATTACTACTTGGAAGACATTCACCCCCTGTATGTCTATATTAAACATTTTGGACATTTTTGGATTTTCTCCCGAATATTTAATAGTAAGCAGACATACTTCACTGTCTAAAATCCACCAGCTTTCCTAAGTCCCATCAAGTTCCATGACCAAGAAAGTTCCAAGACCATGAAATGGACTTTTTTTTTCTGGAATACGCTACACTTTTTCACCAAACACCTCCAGTTTGCTTGTAGGAATCATATGCCCCTCTGTTCTCAATAGACACGCTAGTTCTGCTTAATCACAAACAAAATCAGATGGTTTATCACAATGAAGCAGCAAGCTGGCAGCTTTACCATAAAAGGGAAGAACAGACTGAAGCCAAGCTCCAACACTCACTCACTGCTTCTTTACATTTGTTAATAACTGTCCTGACTAAAGGGAACATTTCTGTATGGTCCTGCTAAGGACACAGTAAACAGCTGGGTTTTCATGCAGCTTCCTTTTCTAGGACCTTGGGAACTGTGTTTTCCTCCCAAACCTCCAAGTAGATACAAGGTTGTTTGTTTTTCCATCTTTAACTCAAGCTTGCTTACAAAGTGCTTTCATGAAAATGGCTTTGCAGAAAATAGATAAGCTTCTTGGAGTTGAAGAAAGCCTCCATATGTCTTCTCAGTATTATTCAGAGCATGTAATAAAAGCATAATCTTCCACATGAAAAAATATTTCTGTTATTACTGCTACACAACCTGACCTTCCTTATTTGTGCTGCTTATCACACATTTGCTGTTTGCCACCTGCAGAGACAATAGCAGAAGGCAGCAAATTACCCACCCTCACTGGACTACTATCACTGGCATCTGGCAGTGCTGCAGAAGCCATCCATCCATCCACCCACCTCTGGCTCTTCTGCCCTGCACCATGGTGCCCTCTCGTGTGCTGCATCATGCCTTTGTGCAGCCACACTGCACACCAGGCTGCAGTTACCCACCCTAAAATGAAGCTAGCAAAATCAAGGAATGATTATTAGCTGGGCCGTTTCTATGTGAAGACTGCATGAGGACGGTGCTGGGAGTATTGGGATGAGGAGGCTGAGCCCTTTGCGCAGCGACTGAGCAGTGCTATTGCAACTGCAATGAGAAGCCACTGCATCCATAACACAGGTATAGAGGTCAGTAAAGAAATATAAGCGGACTTTTTTATGATCGTCTCCAATTATTTGATTTCTGTTAACAGTGGCTGTGTTGTTACAAGAACAACTTTGATGGGACTTGAACATCATCTCTAATGAATACATTGACCAAGTAAGTCTTGAAAGCAGAGGAGGAGCACATGCTGGACGTTTGTGCCAACAGAGGGTTTGAATGTGAAGGGTTCTGATCCCCAGCTGATGAACTTGCAATAGGACCAGCTATTGGCAGATACCATGGCTTGATTTGTTGATAGAGGTAGCCCAGGATTTGAACAAGCTGACTGCTTTTGGCCAGGGAGTCCTGATCAGAGAGTACTAGAATGTAATTCTTCAGTCTTATGAACCTAAGATATATTTTAGTTTGGCAAGAAGTTTCTTAGATAAGGAGTAATATTGACATTTCTTAAGGAAAACATTCAGTGCCTTGATACAAGTTCATGAACACAAATCTCTCTTTATACTCCCTTTACAAACGTGCTTACAAAGTCCCATGAAGCACTCTGTCCATATGGATTGCATACACACGCACTCTATTATGTTGCTGCCCACTCTCACCACCTCAGCATGAATACAGTTTGGCTACATAACTAGTTATATTAAGCTTTGGTTTAGTTTTATGCACAAAACATGAGTCTGTTTTTCCAAACAAAAGCTCAGCTTTAAAGGCAACTGGGGCCCTCTTCAGAGATGGAGAGACTCCAAAACTGCATGTGCAAGTAAATAAGCAAGTGAAGCGTGGGTGTCCTGGGCTTGTGATGCAAGTTCTTGTGGGAAGGGTTTGGCTGCTGTGCCAGCTGTGTGTGGTTAGGAGGAGGTAATGGAAGTGTCTCTCTTGAAGTTCAACTTATGGTCTGTTCCTTCCTCCTTTCTTTCCCCTTCCTTCCTATTTGTTCTCCCCTTCCTTTTTTCTATCAGGAAGGTTTCCTCCAGAAAAGACATATGAATCATAAGGTATGAAGATCCACCAAGAATTGGTGGAGTCAGAACATTCCAAGCACCAAAAAAGTGAACAGAAAGAAGGGAAAGCATCCACTTGTACTGCCTTCTCCTCCCAACCTGGGAGGCACAGCTAAATCCTGGCTGTTCTAGAAGCAGTTAATGACTGCAGCGAAGGGTGATCATGCTCAGGTGGCTTCAAAAGACCACCTTAGGAACAACAGGAGAGAGGAAGAGTGAAAGAGGTCCTTATGATGTTGGGATCAGGCAGAGAACTGAAATTAGTTTCAGTTTAAGAAGGAAAATGATATATACGGCTACACTGAAACAATCCTTATTTTTCAGTAGTAGATGCAGTATGACATTCCTTTTTTTCCCCTGTCGCTACCTTGCAGCACTTTCTTAGTTGACTTTTCCTTCATCCCACTTTTGGGGACAAATAGCAGAGTTCTGTGCTGAACGAGAAGGGTACTGCTGAACTTCTTGCATAGCTCCCGTGAGGCTCACTGCTGAAAGGCTTTGAGGAAAGAAAGTTGCTTTGACAGCAGGGTCTGCTCAGAACCCTCAGAAGTGCTGTATGCAGAGGACAGAGATCAACACCTGATCTGCAAGGCAGATAGATGGCTGAAGCTTTCAAGGATCTGCTTCTACCAAGTAAGTTTCTTTCAGCTGGGGCTCCATTAAATGAGATTCAATGCATCATGTTATTCTAAAAGCTTAAACCTGTCCTCTCAGCCCTAAACATTTTTTATATACCTGTCCTTGCTGTTACAGTAAGGAGGAATGTCTGATTTCAGTACGTCTGTTATTGATGCTTTATTGATCCTCCTTTGTTGCACTGTAATTCTGCCTCCTTCTGCCTGTGGGTGATAAAATTGATACTGCTCCAGAAAAGAAATGTACCATAAGTGACAGGAAGAAAAAAATGTTGATATTTTAAGGCAAATTTTAGAGTTGAATTTATTATATTTCAAGTATTTACATGTCTGAAAATGTAAGATCCTAAGGTTAGAAGCCAAAGTTACAATTAGCTGATCAACTTACGTAAGTAAATGATCTTCAGGTGGTTTTTGTTATCTGGGTTATTTTGTTAACGCTGCAGTTATACATAAAGTACTCAAGACATCTCTAGGGAGAAAAAACCTGTTTTTATGCTTTCGGTATCTGTCACCATTGGTGCGTGTATCCTTATGTAGTGTTTGTTCCAAAATAATAGAGATTTGGTTGATATTTAAAGACAGCAGAAGTCTGAAAGGTGGTTGGTCAAATTAGACAGCACAGAGGCTTATCACATACTTTGTCTACTCTGAGCCTTGAATTACAACAACATGAACCATCTGCAATGTTCTGAACAGACTGATCTTAAGATCTAGTCAACTTATTTCTTTCAGATTTCAACTACAGTAGTGCTGCAATCATTGTGATCACAGTGTGTGCCAGGATCATGGTTAGATAAAGTGCAAAATGGTTTTGAATGGATTAGTATCTCCATAGCAATTGCTGTTCTCTGTTTGTATGTAAACGTTGCTAAGAAGTCAATGCTGGGTATTTATCTAGCAGCTAAACTGACATTTCAGATGCCGTTAATCATTTTTTCCCGTCAGACCAAAAATCCATAAGCCCTATACCCTTAAATCCTTAAACTTAAAACAAGGCAGCCCTAAGCTTCAGGGCTGAGTTTGGAAATCTTGCTGAACCACAGTTATAGGGCAAAACTTTTGCAGGAACAGACCTCAAATGGAGATTTACATTTCAAAGTGTTCTGCAGCCTCCTGGTTCCCCAGAGCACCCGTGGCTGCTGTGAGATAGCAGCCAGTCACGTCCCTGCATTCTGTAGATATTGCAGCCTTGCGTGGTCATTGATGTAGCGTTTTTATCTCTAAATGAATGATCTTTCTTTAGGACAAAATCTCCTTAGCCTGTCAGTATTCAAAGCAGAAATTCCCTACTTATTTTTAAGGTCTCATTATATGCTTTGGGGTCTGCTTTTCCACTGCTGTTCCATTAGAAAACAGAGCACATCTCAACTAAAGACTCCAAAGCATTAGCACTGTACTAACAGTAGCCCCAAATTCAATCTGCTTACTAGGAGAGAGCGAGGAGCAATGCTGACAGATACAACAGCCTTAGCAGCTAACTTTGGAATAGTCTCCACTGGTGCAAAGGGAGCGTTTTCCATGCCCGTATTTGCCAAAACTATTTGCTCAACTTTGAAACCTTCCCACATGCCTCGACACAGATGGGTAAAAGGATTGTTTTTCCTTTTTGAGTCAGTGTTTGTGGAGTGCCGTTCCTGCCAAAGAATTCCTCTGAAACTTCTTGAAAGCCCATGTCTCCCTGTGTATCACAGCTTTTCTGACTGTGCTTCTTGAGGGAGCACACATGCAGCAGTACATTGTTTTCTCTCACGTTAAAGTGCAGTGATTTCTAAGAACTTGCCTACCTTGCAGCATGCTCCTGTAGGCTGTGTCTGCAATAGCGTAGATGTGGGGCGGCATCTCGTGCCTCTTCTTTCCCTTGTACATGTCAATAATCTTCTCTGAGTAGATGGGCAGCTGTTTGTATGGGTTTACCACAACACAGAAGAGACCTGAATAAGTCTGCAATGAAATTCAAGTAAAAAAGGGAGTTAGTGTTGTGTACTGTATCTAGACTGGGACACAAGGCATCAACTGCACTGAACCAACAGGATTTTAGCAAAAAACAATTATTTTCTCAATTTAGTATGACAAATGAAGTGGCAGTTTCTGTATGTATGTGTATGAGTGCAGCTTCCAAGTGCATAAATAATTGTTTCTAATAAGGAAACTGACAGAAAGTATGTCATTTTTTCTGCTTGTGGAAACGCTCTGCTTTGATGTAACGCTGCATGCTTTTTTTATTTCAGTTGTTTTTGGTATGTAGTGAATCACCTTTATTTGTGATGAGCTAGGGACTACAATGCTTCAGAATGTTCCGTTATACATGTATTTGTGTGCTGGAATGTTATTTGCTCAGGCAGATATCAAATTCTTAAATCTTAGATCGGAAGTGTGGGTTTATGTTGGGCATATAACCACCACACAGCAGTAATGATTGATGTGAGTCTTTGAAAAAAATTACTCCAGTTCCAAACAGATCTCTTATCAGAATGGCCGTATACCTTCAATAAGCAACAATTTCTGTAAGAGATTCAAGAAAAAAATCTGTTTTATGTGTTCAGTTTACTGAAGGTATTCGTGTAAAAATGGATGCATAAACAAGCAAGAACACTGGACACCAGCTGATGGCTATTCATCCAACTGTTAGGTTTAAAAAACATCCTTTGTCTCAGGAAGCTCCAACTTACTGAACTGGAACAGAAATATTAGTGAGTGATAATAGATGAAATGCTGTATATTACAACAGTTACTAAAAGTGAGCAAAGTAAACAAACACAAAAAATAAGTAAAGAAAAAGAAATGATAGTTGCAGCCCTTAAGTCAGCCTTTGGCTACTATTTTTTGAAATGACACCAGTCTGAGACAAATGAACTTTTGTCCTTTATGACTTGGACGTAAGTTGTTTGGATTCCCGCAGTTCATGAGTGAGCGCTGCACTGTGCAGTGCTACCTTGCCCTAACCTCAGAGCTGTGTCTAACTGAGCTCAAGCTGCCTCAGTTCCCCCACAGGAACAAGGATAGCACAGGACTGTAAAATGCCATCTCAAAGGCTTGGATCTGGGCACAGGGGTTTCCCTTTCCTGACCATATTAGGAAATGGCACAACACGGTCTCGGCACAGCCTGAGAGCTTTATATGGTACTGAGCAAACAGGGCGAGAGCGTCCATCAGCTCATGGCGGTGAGGAGCAGTTGGGTGCCCCGCATTGGGCAGAACGCGTGGGGTGCTCCGAGCATCTCCAACCTTTACAGCATTGTGACTGCACCTTCACTCGCTCTTGATGTCCCCAAGTCCCCCAACCTTTGGGGAGGGTAAATCACTGCTACGCTGGCTTTTAATTGATGACAGAGTTTAGGACAAAACTCTGTGCTAACTGTGTTAAAATGAACTTTCGTATGGTCAACACACTTGAAAAATGGCTGTGCATCTTACATAAGACAAAATGACCACTAGGCCCTTAA